CTGTGGCCAGGTATGGGGGAACCACAGAAGGCTTTCTGAGAGATGTGACATTCAAGCTGAGATTTAAAGGACATGAAAATCTTAGGCCAGAGTACAGACATGGGTTTTTCTGAGTTGGGGGGTGGGGGGAGGTCCATGTTCTGCCTCTGCTCATTCAGGTCTCCACTCAAGGCCTTCCTTGTCTCCCCGTCCAGGATGGTGCCCCACGCCATGATCCGTTCCCTTCCTTGTCTCCCCATCCAAGATGGTGCCCCCCCCCACGATCCATTCCCTTCCTTGTCTCCCCGTCCAAGATGGTGACCCTGCCACGATCCATTCCCTTCCTTGTCTCCCCGTCCAAGATGGTGCCCCCCCCACGATCCATTCCCTTCCTTGTCTCCCCGTCCAAGATGGTGACCCTGCCACGATCCATTCCCTTCCTTGTCTCCCCGTCCAAGATGGTGCCCCCCCCACGATCCATTCCCTTCCTTGTCTCCCCGTCCAAGATGGTGACCCTGCCACGATCCATTCCCTTCCTTGTCTCCCCATCCAAGATGGTGCCCCCTCCACACTCCATTCCCTTCCTGTGCTTCTGTTCCCATCTATGCATCACTATGTGGCCATAGTTATATTTTTATTTGTTTCCTAGCTTTATCGCTAGTCTCTCCCACTACACTATCAGTCCACGAGGGCAGAGACTTTGTTCATGGATGTATCCATAGCTCCTAGAACAGGACAAAGCCCCTAACAGATGATCACTTTTTTGGCAAAACAAAGAAGTGAACAGAGTGAGTTCAGGCTGGCCAGAGTGGAGAGATTAAGGGGGAATCTCTGAACATCAGCCCTGTTTGCCCACACTCCACCCAGCCTCTTCCTGTTATTTTGACCCTGAACTCTGCTTGGCCTGCTCTGGGACACACGACATCCTCCTGCCCCTTCTCCCTCTACTGATGACCCCACACGGAGGCTGCTGTTGGAGGCCTCCTGGCCTGGCGTGGCCCACTGCCACCCTGACAGTGTGGTGACAGAGGTGAGGAGGGCCTGGGAGAAATCAAGGCTGACATCTCAGCCTCGGCCAACCCACCAGGGCCAGCCCCTGACCCGGGGCCAGGCCTCCTTTGCTGCTGCTGGCTCCACGTTAGCTTGTCATGACTGCTCCCAGGGGAGCATCCCTGTCTCAGACCTGGCCTCTGCATCCTGCTTCTCTCTGTGTTTTCTGTCTCCAGGATTCCTACACTCTCTTGCTCATCCTCAGCCTTTTCTGATAACCTGGCTGGAGCTTGTAAACCCACGTGGGGAGAATAGTCAGGGATGAAGGATGCATAGAAAATGGAATTAAACTTTTCCAGGAGCCTCTCCATGCCATCACACTGTACTCTTGCAGCATCTTGGGAATGGTGTGGTCTCCTGGGGACTTCTTTGGTCCCCCTGTGCAGAATGTTCTGGGGTTTTCCTAGCCTGGGCATCTCAAAACAGACACGCAACCAGTTCTAATTCCTCTCCTTTCCCATGTGGCACAGATGCGGGGTTTATCAATTCTGCCACCTCCTCCAGGAGCCCATAAAGGTCTTTGCCAGGACTTCCCTGGTGGCGCAGTGGTTAAGAATCCACCTGCCAATGCAGGGGACACGGGTTCGAGCCCTGGTCTGGGAAAGTCCCACATGCAGCGGAGCAACTAAGCTCGTGCACCACAACTCCTGAGCCTGCGCTCTAGAGCCCACAAGCCACAGCTACTGAAGCCCAGGCGCCTAGAGCCCGTGCACCGCAACAAGAGAAGCCACTGCAATGAGAAGCCCACACGCCGCAACGAAGAGTAGCCCCTGCTCGCTGCAACTAGAGAAAGCCCGCATGCAGCAACGAAGACCCAACACAGCCAAAAATAAATAAATTAATTATTTTTTTTTAAAAAAAGGTCTTTGCCAAGTCACAGTCATTAGAAGAGGGAATCCCCTGGCCGAGCCGGTCAAGAAAAGAAAGACAAAAACATAGTCCAAGGGTGCAGTACTTATTGGGAGCAGAACTTGATTGGGTTTGCTACTTTCTTTTTTTTTTTTAAGATAAGGACTTTTAAAAATTAATTAATTAATCTATTTATTTTTGGCTGCATTGGGTCTTTTTTTTTTTTTTTTTTGCAGTACGCGGGCCTCTCACTGTTGTGGCCTCTCCCGTTGCGGAGCACAGGCTCCGGACGCGCAGGCTCAGCGGCCATGGCTCACGGGCCCAGCCGCTCCGCGGCATGTGGGATCTTCCCGGACCGGGGCACGAACCCGTGTCCCCTGCATCGGCAGGCGGACTCCCAACAACTGCGCCACCAGGGAAGCCCTGCATTGGGTCTTTGTTGCTGTGCACGTGCTTTTTCTAGTTGCAGCGAGCGGGGGCTACTCTGTTGCGGTGCACGTGCTTCTCATTACGGTGGCTTGTCTTTGTTGCGGAGCACGGGCTCTAGGCACGTGGGCTTCAGTAGTTGTGGCATGCAGATTCAGTAGTCGTGGCTCATGGGCTCTAGAGCACAGGTTCAGTAGCTCCTGCCATTGGGATCTTCCTGGACCAGGGATTGAACCCACGTCCCCTGCATTGGCAGGCGGATTCTTAACCACTGCGCCACCAGGGAAGTCCAGGTTTGCTATTTTCGCTGGCAGTTCGTGGAAGGGTTTTCCTGCATCGTATCACACACCTGTCACTGTGTCACAGCACAGTTGTACCCGTCTCCACCCCACATGTCCAGGCGGCTTCTGGCTGCAAAAGTGGCAACCTTGACCTCATCCCTGGTCTTGGAATCACTGAGCCACGGAGCCGGAAGGAACCTTACAGATCACCTAATCCCATCTCTCCCAAAGGCCACTCCACAAATGTAGATTACCTCAGTCATTTGGGACACTGGTAAAAAATACAGATCCCTAACTCCTGCCACGAAGATTCTGATCCAGTAGGTCTGAGTGGGCCCAGGAATCTGCCTTTTCACAGGCGTTGCTAATGATTTTGATATGTGGCCAGACTTCAGACTCAGTGACCACTCCAATATCTTGTCAAGAGGAAGCTGAGGTCCCTGAGGGGCGAAGATACCTGCCCCCCACCCCAACTCATGGCATGGCACACAGGTTGGTGAAAGGACCTTAGATGACACATCGGTAGACCCAAGCTGCCATCCCAGCTCTGGCACTAATGGTGTGTATCTCCCTGACTGTAACTCTCCAGCCAAACACTGGCTTTGAGATGATCCAAAGGCTTTTTTCAGCTGCTCCCCTTGGAGAAGTAAAGCCTTGCTTTGTAATGCAAAAGAATGAATCTTCACTCTTTCATCGATGTAGCAGACGTTGACTGTACATTTCCTGCAGCCAAGCTCTGTGCCGAACAGAGTTTATAGATGAACGCGACAGGGCTTCAGTCATCGGGGATGGGGATCGGGGGTTGCAAACTAGGACTTGCTTATTTCCTACTACGTGCCAGGCACCGTGCTTGGAGCCTTAACACAGGTCATTTCACTTAGTCTGCAAAACAGCCCTATGCGTTGTCCCCATGTCACAGTTGGGGCAATGCCCTCAGAGAGTCTAGAAGACTTTCTTAAGGTCGTTCAGGTAGAAAGAAGAGTCTTGTATGTGCCAGGCGCCGTTCTAAGCTCTTTACACCTATTGCTGTATTTCACTGATTCTGTGACACACATTTTAACATCTCTGAAATCTGGAAGCCTGTAGCAATATGTATAGCCGCCACTGTAACTGGCAAATCTTCCTTCTTAGTAGCATGTAAAATAGTGATGGGCCTTACAAAACAGCGGCTTTTTAGATTTGATGAATTACTGTCCCCCACTTAACAGGTAGTAAGGGACAGAGCCAGAATTCACACCCAGGTCTGTCTGGCTTCAAACACTTTCATGCTGACAGCCTAGTGGGAAGGCGGACACAGATGACAGCACAGGACTGAGACACTCCTGGGGGACCTCTCCACCTACTAAACCACGCAGCAGGGCCACCTGTTCACAAAGCCTTGACCATCCCTTGATTTCCCCTGTTCCCCTTCACCCTCTGCTCTGGCAGGCCTGACTGCTGGTCACCAGGTGTCAAAAGGTAGAGAGGAATCCAGCAATTCTGCTCCTTGGTATTTACCCAAATGAGTTGAAAACTTATGTCTACACAGAAATCTGCACAGGAATGTTTGTAACAGCTTTATTCATAATTCCTTCCAAGAGGTCCTTCAGTGGGTGAATGGATAACTAAACTGTGGTACATCCAGACAATGGAATATTATTCAGTGCTAGAAAGAAATGGCACTATCAAGCCATGAAAAGACATGGAGGAACCTTAAATGCATATGACTAAGTGAAAGAGGCCAATCTGAAAAGACTACAGACCGTATGATTTCAAGTATATGACATTCTGGGAAGGGCAAACTATGGAGACAGGAGAAAGATCAGTGGTTGCCAGGGGTCCGGAGGTGGGGTGGCAGGTGAATAGGTGGAACACGGGATTTTTAGGGCAGTGAAACTGCTCTGTAGGACACTGTAATGATGGAGACATGTCATTAGACATTTGCCCAAAGCACAGAATGGACAACACCAAGAGTGAACCCTAGTGTGAACTGTCGACTCTGTGGGTTCAGGTTACCACCGTGGTGGAGGTGTTGATAGTGGCGAAGGGGGCTGTGCATGGG